CTCCATGACTAATAAGTGTTAGGTCTTTTCCCTCTGTGAGCAGACCTGACTGTTACTAACCCACTTCTGAGGCCACCGAATGCAGCGTAAGATCTTCAGCTGATATAATTCCCCACACACCAACCACCACAACCAATAACATATCATAGAAAAATTGTATCCATTTATAGGTGTATTCTATTAGGCTAATCTCCCCAACAACAACACAGCGGTGACCAAACACGACACACAACGAATAACTAACGTAAAGAACACACTATAAATGGACAATATACTTAATACTACAGAGATGTTAGCATCCAAACCACACACACAACACTACCACAACACCCACAAGTTACACAGAAAATGGTAGTAACCAGTCAGGTCTGCTCCGAACGAAAACGCACACACATCACCATCCCAACACATATACACACATGCACACACAGAGTTAACAAAGAAAAAGGAGAATTCAGCGTACTCAATAATGTTCACCCATGACAGCCCCCACCCACCCACATCACAGCTCAACCACTACTACGACGAGCAACTCACTACACTGACACACACCACACACAACAACAAACAACCATAATACTAATAACGATCCAATCAACACACATCACATACACACATCTATCACTCACAACGCACACACACAACACACCACATCCTACTATTATGAAATATATTGTATACATCACATACACGACTAAATATTAGTTCCAACTTACTGTCCAGCGCCTACACCACTACTACAATATTTATGTAAAACTCACACACACCAACATAATTTGACTTTGATCCTCATGCATTTACAATAACACCCAATTCAACTATCGATGTTGATAGTTAAAAACATAGAGGATGTCACAACACTACACTAGAGTTAATTTGCAATCACTGCACCACCACCAACACTTATCGATTGTATGAACCTCACACACACACCCACACACATATAGAACTACACACATACACACACACACACACACATATAAACTCACACACACACACACACATACACACACACACACACACATATAAACTCACACATTACCCAGGCTAGTGTTCACTCACCCCGGGCAGATACTGTCACAGTGTCACTGAATAGTTACCACTTTATCCGGTAACGTGAGATGACACAGCGCTGTTAAATGCCATTCACGTGAACTCACACGACGCACTAAAACCAAACGGGTTGTAAACGGAGGCTAGAAGCGTCTATCTTACCTGCACGGTCTTTGTCGGGCAGCAAGAAGTATTCGCACCAGACCGGACAGACTGTCTCATGTGTACAGCACTGACTCAGTCCATCTGACACAAATTTGGCGCGTTGTTGTCTCCAGCCATGACTTCCGCCATGCTCGTCACATCCGCTTCCCTTTCTTCTTCGAGTGTTTTCACTGGCGTCTCGTCCGTTTGCGTCATTATGCTGATGGTCACCATATAATAATAATAATAATATCATACATGATAATTCATACTTAGACTGAATGCAATACTAATTCCTACTCACTAAACTTATACATACACAAGAACAGAGAAAACCTGCTCAATCTTCTAAATGTGTTATCTTAATAACTGAAAAATGTGTTTAGAGTAGAAAGGCCTAAATAGTGCCCTCTTGGATGCCCCTATGGCAGATAAAACTTAATAAACTGCCCTCTACAATGGGCTAATGTGCAAGAAAACATGATACAGCTTAAAGTTGATCATACTTAATAAAAACAGAACTAAAAACTAAAACTAGGTCTGATAAACGTAAAAACTAGAAAAAAAACTATTTAGTTTACCCGAACGTACTAAAATGGAATAATATATAGGAAATGTCTTTATAAGCAGGCATTGGTGCATATAATTATTATAATTCAATCTTGCACCTGACAAATACCCTCATATTATAATAAAACAAAAACTCTGAAAACACTGAAACTAATTGAAACTAAACTAAAACTAAACATTTTTAAGCAATAATTAACTGAAATGAGCAAACCCACTCTGAAAACTTACTAAGCTAAATAACTAATAAATAACTTAATACAAATTGCCATATACGCTGCTCTACATACTTAGAAAATTAATTTCCTGTGTGTTTTCAATCTTAGTCACGTAATAAAACAATTTTAATCTTAACCAAGGTTTGGAATCGTTTCACAATAACTGGATCATAACTTTCTGTTATTTCACTGCATGCAATTAGTCCCCCTGCCCCCTCAGACAGCCGGAGTCTACCACAGTCTGAATCTAGAAATAGGACTATAGTGTAGTAACTGATGGAAATGCAATGCAACTGTCAGTTGTTGTTCAGTCAAATCAGTGCAGTGGTTTGACAATATGTACAATATTGAAACCTGTAACAAAGAGGCTTTAATTGCCTAAATGTCGGTAGCAAAAGGAACACTAGAAGTCCTATAGGGGATGTGGCCAATCAGGTGAGAGCCACAAAGTGATAGGTAGGCTCGCGGGCAGCAGGTGTGGACACTGCAGACTGACTGTGTTGCTTTATATGCTCTCTCCATGTCTCTATTATATTGGAACAGTGGGTCTGCCATAACTTTATTGTAGGTAGAAAAGGCCGAAAGAGAGGAATAATTGTCAGCAAGAGGTGTGTAAGTGTATGTAGCTGTAATGTAGCTTTTGTAAATTATTTGTACCTCGTACAATATTTGTAACGGTGTTCTGTCTCTTTACAGGCATAATACTGACTGCTGTTTATTTTTTGTATTTTGGTGTGTTTTAGTTGTGGTATCTTAGTTTTTATTCTTTGTAGTTGGTTTTATATAGTTTAGGGTTTTAATTCTGTCTTTTGTTTGTAGTGCTGCGGCTGGTGGTGGCCTCCAGTCACAGTGTGGAGGAATACTGGGAGTTCACTCATTTTCGATGGTGTTTCTTATTAGTACAGTGTTTTTTTTTTGTTTTGTTTTTTGCATTTGTCACAGGTAGAGTACGCCCAGTGGGTGGTATGACTGTTTGTCCTCTCCTCCTTTTTTTCCATCCTTTTAGTTTTAGTAAATGCTGGAATACATAGCCAGTTATGGCAGTTAACCCACACTGATTACTGTGGCCTTTTTATTGAAGCACCTATGTTGCCATACACTCTGTTACAAGTGTTTCTGTTGGAAGTTCCTACCGCCAATTTTATTACATGCCACAAAAATGTTGGATGGAACAAATACTGACAACTTTGTATGAGGCCTGACCTGTAGTGTGTTTTGTCCAGAGGGTGGCACCAAAGAAGAGGCAATGTGGTCTCAGGGTTTAGGCCTTTTGGAAACATGAATTTGTTCAGGAAATGTCATAGTAATCGGCCTAACACACTGCTAAGAATCTGGGTATGATCTTCGACCAGTATATGACATTTGACC